AGCAAGGCCCTGGGGGAGGACGCGTACACACGAGCCCCACCCCACGAGGACCGCTCTTCACCACGCAACAAAGAGTCCGGCAAACAAGCTGGTCCAGACGACAGGACCCCCAGCAGATACTCCTTCCCCGACCTGCCTCCGCCCCTGGTTCCCCAGCTGCCCGCGCTCTCCACCCTCCGTCTGGCAGGGGACGAGTCAAGAGGCCCAGTCCGCGCCCTGGTGAAATACCTGGCCGAGTGGAGCCACGCACTATACACTCTCTGGGCTGCCTTTGCACAGCGCCAGGGAGGAATCATTGAGGGCGACATAACCGACGAAAATAGGTGGCCGACCGACCTGCTGCTCCCCTTGCTGAAATCGGTATGCGGAGAAGAAATCCCAGTCAATGGCCGCCCTCCGCGTATCCCATGGGACGGGCAGAGGGCAGCGGCAGCCAGGGTAGTCTCACACCTAGTGGGCAGCAACCCAACGTATCAAGAGCCCTGGGATCGTACGCAGGCAACCTCGCCAACCAGAAAGGACAGGGCCACTTCCGACAACCGCTCCACGTCCTCACGGCCTTCCTCACCAGGCTGGAGGACTCCGACTTAACCAGAGGAACCATCGAGCTCCTCGCCGCCCAGCCCCAGAAAGCGACAGCCGGAGGCGCAGACCGTGACGAGTCTCCTGCCGCCAGCTGGCTCAACAGGTCCTGGAGGAAGGAATCACCTGCAGCTGATCGCCATGCAGCGGATCACGCTGCACCTCCGACCCGCGCCAACGTGCCACTCCAGCAGCCCGCCGTACCTGGCTTGTCCAGCGCAGTCCCTGAAGGGGAGCCGTCCTCCCCAGAGCGCTGGAATGGCGATGGCGATGTGGAAGGGGTCGACTGGGGTGACGAGGCTGGCAAGAAATCCGAAACCGACGCCGAAGCGCGCTCCAGCCCACAGGACATTTCCGTTGACTCTGAATCGCAGGCCAGCCCCGCCCACCTGGAGGACGACGCCGACGACAAAGCCCCCGCAGACGACAAGACGGCCCAGAGCCCCCCCCCGCTCTGGACAAAACCTCCCCACAGGGCAGACTCAGACGCCTGGTCCCCATTCGCGCGAGTTGCCGCCAGAGCTACACTCAGCGACGGGTCCACTCTAGGCGGCCCCCGCCACAGAGAGGATCGGACCCGGAGTCTGCACGCAGGCAGTGACGGCAGGACTCTTAGATACTCGGGGGGTGAAGATGACCGCCGTGCATTCGCGGTTGACGCAGTCAGGGCCAGAGGTCGCTCGGCCACACCGCCGCCTCACAACTCATCTAAAGCACGGCGTGCCACCCAGGACACATGGAGCGACGCGCGGACCGCGACGATGCCCGCAGCGCGCCCTGACGACCCCATGGGAGGTCCATCGACGAGGCAGACGTCGCAAGGGACGAACCAGCCCCCGACAAGATCACACGGATGCAGAAGACGCTGGGAGGCGCGTTTAACGGAGCCTGGAGCGCCTGGGTCAGGCAGGCAGCACTCTGTCAAGGGAGTGCTTACATCAAGTCCGATCCCAGGCTAAATGCAGCGCAGCAGTGCAACGAGTTCCTCCAGGCATGGAGCAAAATGGGATTCGACGCCTACAAGATGGATAGATAATACCAACTCCACGTCGACTGGCCGAATTTCATGGAGAAGCACCGCAAACTTACGCAACGCGACACCAGACTGCGCCCTGCCGACGGGCCCGCTGGTAGCGGACGCCCGCCCCCATGGACCGTCGAAGGCAAGGAGGTTGCAAGGGCCCCCCCATGGACCACTGAAAGCAGGGAGACTGCTTGGTCAGGGGCATCTGGGTCAGACGCATCGTGGCGCTCATGGCAGTCCTGGGACGCGTGGGATCATCAGCAGGACACATGGACTGACACGGATTGGAAGGCGAAGGGTAAGCGGTTCTCCCCCAGAGGCGAAGCCCAGTTCGCAGACAAGCGCCCGCGAGGGTGGGACTTCCGACCCATGTGATCCGGGCTCAGTGGGCCAGCGCGGCTCGCGGACAACCTCTCCGTTCGGCGGGGGCGCCGCGGCTCGCGCCGACATGGCCTTCCCCCGCGTGCACGCTCTCGGCCGTCCCCTCCTCCTCCCCCCCGCCATTGCCCGTCCTCTCGGAGGGGGGTCATGCGTGCAGTCCGTCTTCGGCTCGAGTCTACCACTGGTGCCCTGGATAATGTCAGTTCTCAGGATCGCGACGCGGCCCGTCATGGAACGCAGCGCTTGCTTCCTGGACAACAACGGTCTGGGGCAGCTGGGCGCAGCCTCCACCACCTCATACAAGGTGGCTTCCATTGCTCTGACCCTGTGGGCCATCTGGGACCCCGCTGTGCCTGGTGGAGCTCGCTGGGTTGGCAGCCCCATGGTCCTCAACAGGCCATTTGCCTCGAGCAGCAATTTTGAGCTGGTGGACTGAGGCCCAGGGGAGTGCCCGCAATCCCTCGGTCGAAGTTTCCCTGATGTTTACTCCTGGCACGACATGGGTAAGTTTCGCCGCAGCGCTCGGCCCCGGCCACAATACATCGTGCTACCTCCTTCGGGTCAGAGGTGCACTAATACCCACGCGCTGCGAACCCGACAGCCCACGCTGGTCTCGTGGACCCACCCTGGACGGAGTGCCCGGTGGCTGAAATAGTCCACCCCCTGCGCCCCCCCACTTCTGGCACCGTGGCCGGCAATGGCTGGGTAACCTACCGCCGCGCTGCCAGGCCTAGACCTGACCACCCCACGGGACAGGGGGCCGTCAGTTTCGCCCCCCCCGGGGCACCCACTTTGGACGACAGGAACTGGTGGCCGACACAACCCACCTCCTGCGTTCCACCTTTCTATAGCATATGGCTCGACGGCAGGTGGGGAACGCCTACCGCGTCCAACGACCGCCGGTCTCCCCCCCGCATCTCACCATTTACACGACCAACGCTCCGTGCGGCTCTTGGCTGCGTCCCCCATCTCGATCGCCGGGATCGATCCGGCCCCGCAGGAGGCTGGGTTGCCCCCCAGCGCTGTGGCGAGTCGCTTCCCCTCCTCCTCCTCCTCCTCCTCCTCCTCCTCCTCCTCCTCCTCCTCCCCCCTCTCCCCATTCGCCAGTTTCTGCGGCTCTTGGCTGCGCCCCCAGCGAGGTATGCCTTGGTAGAATGTGCTTGTGCCTTGGTTCGATCCAAGCGTGGTGGCCCTGGGCATGGTCGTCATGCCGCGGCGCCTGATTGCGCCCCCCATGTGATTCACAAGTTTCTGCGGCTCTTGGCTGCGCCCCCAGCGTTGTGATGGGGCGCCGGGGCAGGGGAACTGACAGGTTCAGCCAACCCCACGGGTCACATGGGCCTCAACGAAGTTTGCCTGCGTTGAAGATGCGGCAGTGCTGGTCTGGTCCAAGCGTGTCGGCCCTGGGCGCGGTGGCCGTGCCTGCAGCTTGGTCGTTTCCCCCATGTTCATTCACAAGTCTCTTCGGCTCTCGGCTGCGCCCCCAGCGTCGTGAAGGGACATCGTATCCGGGGAGCTGACATGATCAGCCATCCCCGCGAGACATGGCCCGCGCCTCGCCTCCAGCCGTGCGGGCGGCTAAGTGGGTGCTCCTCTCGGCGCTCAGGAACCGCCTGCGTTAGACACCACGGCAGTGAGTCCCCCTGACCTTGGATGGATATTGCGTGGTGCATCGGCTGGACGCCAGCTGAGCACGCTGTTGTGAGGACGCGTGGGAGTGAGGTCCACCCCTCCCCCCGGTCACCGCCACGGCGGCCAGCAGGGCCACCCGCACCTGCGGATCGCCCTGGCCCACATGGTTCTTTCAGGGCGCTACATGGGCATGACAGCGGCAGTGAAGTCTGGCGCACCCCTCGCGCTTCAGGTACCACCCAATGTCGGGCGTGGCATGGGCGCATTCTTGCACAAGAGGTTCATCCTTTGGCAGGTCATCGTGGTTCCCCCGACTGGTTCTCCGTGCTGGTGCCTTGGTCAGCGCTTGCCCCTCGTGCCCCTGTTCTTCGGTGTCGTACAAGTTGCACGCTGTGGACACAGGCGGCTTTGACGTCAGGTTCGCCGACTGGGTATCTGTCGCCCTCGCTTTCAAGTTCCTGGACAAGTGGTTAATCCTTTGGCAGGTCATCGAGGCTCCCCCGGCTGGCCCCCTGGCAGGTGCCTCGGTCAACGCCGGCAACTCTGCGCCCCCGATCTTCCGCGTCGGACAAGTTGCACGCTGTGACCCAGGCCGCTTTGACGTCAGGTTCGTCGACTGGGTATCGGTTGCTCTCGCGTCCAAGAGAGGCAGACTTTCGTCTGCAACAGTGAGTCACCGCAAGTGAGGCTCCCCTCTGTGCCTTCCCTTTTTCCTCCCGCTGGGTGCCCATCTGGCGTCCGTCGCGTCTCCTGTTCCTTCTCGCCTCACCTTCTGTGTGCGGTGGCCGGAGTATGGTCTCTGCTCGGCCACCCCGTCCCGTTTCTGTGCAGCGTGCTCCGCATTTTTACGCGCCGGACGGTTCGGCGGGAACTTGGCGCCGTTAGGACGACTGCTCTTCTCCGTCCACCGCCGGTACCGTGCTTGCGTGCCCACCCGCCGGGCCGCCTGCTTCGGTCCCCAATGAGGGTCACTTTGTCCCCGGCATGTGCACTTGCTACAGCGGCCTACGTGCCACTGTAGTCAATTATCTCGCTCAGTGCCCCAGAACGTTATTCCCGCTCGCTGGATCTGTCCTTTGACCCGCCGAACGAAAAAGTTTGTCTCAAGGCACGAAATGGCCTGCGAGTGTGATGTGCGTGCCATCTTCGGCAGATATCCCCATTTCTCCCTTCCTCTGCCTCTTTCTCCCTCCTCCTCTTCTTTTTCCCCCGCGCTCCCGTGGTGCTGCTCGTGCTCGTCGTCGTCGTCGTAGCCCCCCTGCAGGTCCCTCCATCTCCCGTCCTCATCCGCGTTCCTCCCCGTCAGGCTTCCCCTCCATGTCATCCTCCTCGTCCTGGTGCTCTTCGTTTCCCTCCCCCTCTTCACGGCCACAGGGGTCGCAGCTCGTTCGTGCCCAGTTTTGTACCAGTCAGGGGTACCCGCGGCCGCAGTCCCCGGCGTGGGGGGCCTGTCCCGCCCGTCCGCCGGGCGGCCATGGCCGCGGTGCTCGGGCTGGTCCTGTTCGGCGTCGCCCTGGGTGCCCGCGGGGATGAGGTGCTCGCACTCACCACCGCGAATTTTTCCCAGCACCTCAAG